AATAAAAAAAATAAATAAATAAATAACTTTGCAAGTCAGTCAAAAATTGGAAAAATGGAAAGTGGTTGTACAATAGTAGGGGTGCAACTTGGATGGGCTGAACCTGAGCAATTCGAATTCAGTTTGAATTTTTTTAGGATTTGGACAAGATATTTTCAAATTCAGTACATGCTTGGGCAAAAATTCAGAAGCCTGAATTAAATTTGGACGGGCTTGGATAAAGACATCAAACAACCTAAGCAACCCGAAGCCCGAATTATACATATATAGATATATAAAAATATTAAATATATATATAAATTATTAGTCATTACATGATATTAAAGTAATTTAGATTATTAAATCATATTAAATATATATTATATATACAAATAACAGAAAATCTTACTTTTTTTATTTTTATTTTCACTCATAAATTGTAAAGACTACTATAATGACATCTCTCTTACATTATATAAATTATTTGTTTTGATGAGATTAAAGATTTTCTATATAAAAAAAAATGTAAATAGAGTCAAATTTTAATAATTTAATAATGTAGCTACAAAAAAAAAAATTACAATTCGGGCAATTCGGGTTTAACTCTGGTCGGGCTTGGGCAAGTAACCACGGGTTACAATTCGGGCTTGGGCGGGCTTGGGCAGATCTCAACACAACTTGGATTGGGCTTGGACAATCTCCCAACCCGATCGAACCCACCCGAGTTGCACCCCTATACAATAGAAGTCATTAAACTTTCCAAACTTTTTCACTGGGGGTGTTTGGGAAGGGTCTTTTTTGGGCTAAAATTTATAAAAAGATAAAATAGGCTGAAATAGTTAATAAGATAAAATGTCACATCAAATTCATAATCATTTCACTTTTTCTCTCACAAACATTACATCCAACTATAAAAAAATCAAACTATCTTCTCAAAACACAAAAAAATTAGCCTACTAAGCCTCCGTTTGGGAAGTGGGTTGATTTTTTGACTTTTTAGCTTTTTTGACTATTTTAGCCTAGGGCTAAAAAGCCTGGTTTGGAAAAGGTTTTTTGGCTTTTTGGTGAGGTGTCTCCCTGTTAAATTACCAATATGCCCTTTTTGGCCCTTTTTTTTTATTTTGGGTTTGGATTTGGCAAATTTTGCTTAAATGTTATTTATTTATTTATTTATTATTTTCGGTTTGGATTTGGCGTATTTTGCTTAATTTTTTTTTATTTTTTTATTTTGGGTTTGGATTTGGCGTATTTTGCTTACATTTTTTTTTTTATTTTGGATTTTGGGTTTGGATTTGGCATATTTTGCTTAAATTTTTTTTAAAGTTTTTTATTTTCGGTTTGGATTTGGCGTATTTTGCTTAATTTTTTTTTTAAGTTTTTTATTTTCGGTTTGGATTTGGCGTATTTTGCTTAAATTTTTTTTTTATTTTTTTATTTTGGGTTTAGATTTGGCGTATTTTGCGTACATTTTTTTTTTGTTTTTTTAATTTTATTTTGGGTTTGGATTTGGCATCTTTTGCTTAATTTTTTTTTGAAATTTATATTTTTGTCTTTTTTTTTTAATACATTAATTAGTTCTTGTTCTTTAATTTACGTTTTTTGCCTTCTTTATTTTTATTGGTAGACAATAACTTTTCTATTTATTTATTTGTAAATTACGTGGCGAATGGTAATTTATGTTTTCATGTTTTTTTTTAAATGTTTTTGAATGAGGCGTATTTTTGTTGTCATTTTTTTTTTAAATTTACGATTTTGTCATTTTTTTATTCACTCACATTAATTTATGTTTTTTTTTTCTTTTTTATTTTTATTGGTATACAATAACTTTTTTTTATTTTTCAAATATGAGTTTTCATGTGTTTTATTTATTTCTAAATTACGTCGTGAATAGTAATTTATGTTTTTATGTTTTTTTTAAAAATATTTTTGAATGAAGCGTATTTTTCTCGTTATTTTTTTTAATTTATGTTTTTTTCATTTTATTATTATTTTTTTTTTGCAAATGGTTTTTTCATGTTTTTTTTTATTTTAATTTTTATTTCATTTTCTGTGAAATGATAAAAAGTGAGGTTTTATTTTATTGTCCTGTGTATTTTAAATAATTTAATTTTAATTTAATTTTAAATCATTTAAATAATGTAAATAATCTAAAAAATTTAATAAGCAAAAAATTAAAGTAAATATTCAAAAAATTTAAATCGTAAAAATTTAAATAATTTAAATATTCAAAAAATTATTTTAACAAAAAAATTTATATAATTTAAAATGTTAATATTTTAAATTTAAAAACAACTCTACACTCAAATCGTAACCAAACACATAAAATAAAACTCAATTAATAAATTATTTTTAAAACTCATAACCAAACACATAACTCGAAACTCCATACTATTTTCACAATTCTACACTCAAAAAATAACCAAATACATAAAATATTTTTATAAAATATTTTAACAAAAAACAAAAAAATGTTTTAAATTTTTTTTTTCAACTTTCTTTGTTAAATTTACGAAAAGGTATTTTGGGAAAAGGTTTTTTTTTTTATTATTTTTGTGTGCTGCAGTTGATGGTGATGCCCAAAATTAACATGTGGGGGTAATTTCGTAAATTGACCTTGGCATTGGCTGTTGGACAGCACCTGTGAAGGTTTTGTCCCCATGTGGCTAAAAAAGCCACCTAGCCCAAGTTTGGCTTCCTAAACGCTCACATTGTAGAAGTGGAGAGAATTGGGTGAAGAAAAATTAGAAGATATGAGAACTCTCTCTCATTCGTGACCAAGGATTCTAACAATCTCGAATGGCATAGGAGTCTCAAGATATAACCTAATGGCTTTTAATAGAGGTACAGAGAAATTTGAGAGAAAGCATCCCATGCTCTCTCTCTCTCTCTCTCATGACTAGCAAATGAAAATTGTAAACCATAAAACCAAAGCAACTTACCAGCAAATTAAAAACGAGATTCTTGTATGGACCCTGAAAAAAACAAAGTAAAAAAAAAACAGAATATTGAAGCCTTTTACTATGAAATTTGCGTGTGATTATCAATTTCACTGTGTTAATCCAACACCACTGTTTATATTTGATTAATGGTTTTAGTTCAAGTAGTCTAAGAAAAAATTGGAAGGAGAAGAAAAATTAAATTGAAGAAAAAAAAAATCTTCAAACACACACACACACACAAAAAGAACTTCCATTTGTTTTCACATCCCAAAATCACAATTGAATTTACAATTTTTAGAGTAATGTTTGATTTACAATTGGCCCTTCAATAAATTTTGTGACTTAAAAAAATCATGTATAGCAAATAAATAAAAATCTTTTATGCTAATTATTAGAATAGAAAAATAAGCTTATACAATAATTTAAACAATGCAAAAATAACATAAAGTTATTACTAATAAATATGGGAAGAATGAGCCACACGATTATGTGAGTTTTTGCATTAGCTACCTGAGTATTACATGATATTTCTCCTTTTATGATACTTTAGGAGAGAAATTAAGGGATTATGGGCATGTTTGGTGTAATTTATTATAAACTAAAAATTAATAGTTAGAAAGTATAAGTTAAAAGTTCTCATTCTTTTAAGATAATCAACTTTTTTCAACATATTTAAACTATTTATGCCTACTAAACTGTAAGCAGAATTAAGATCACACAATGTAATACAGACTTCTAAATTTAAATAAGCTATAAGCAGGTCATTTAAGTTGTAACAAACACCCCCTACATTAGGTTATACTCTTTTTTTTTTAGGGCAAATTACACTAGTACCTCTTGAGGTTTGAATTTAATACAAATTCCTCATTTACATTTGGAAAACTACGCTAATACCCCTAAACCTTTATAGTAGAAACTAATAAAAAAAAATATAGATATTTTGTTCACCTTACTTACTTTAGAGAAAATGACAATCACCCTGTTTGATTTTTATTTTTTAAAAACAATTTCTGAATTTTCAATTTGTATTTTTATATATTTTTATATTTTTTACAAATATTTTAATTTTTAGATCACTTAATCTTAATATACTTGAAAAGTGAAAAAATTGCACAAAAAACTTTAAAAAATTCATTAAATACAACAAAATACGAATATGTATTGAATTTTTGTATTTTTTTTTATATTTGTTGAATTTTTAAAAAGTTTCACAAGTGTTGTACTTTTTAAACGTATTTAGATTATATGTATCTAAAAAATTTATAAAATTTTTTTGCATAAAATATTAAAAAATTCACTATAAAAAAAAATCAATTTTCTAGAACTAAACATAGTGAATAATACCCTTTTATGCTTTTTACCTACCCCAAGCCATATTTGGCAGGTAAATGAATTGTAAATGCAAGTGAAATGGTGTAGAGTCTATTGTGATTGGATTTTTGTTTTTGGTATATTGATAATTTTAAATAGAATATAAGGTTACAAAGGACTTTTTAAGGCCCCAAAAGACAAATCAGTCACTTACACTTTCTTTTTGCTTATGTTATCAAGATTCTTCTAACAAGTCTAACATCCACTTCATGGTAAGGAGAATTTATGAAATTAGACTATTAACGAGTTAGAATGTAATCGAGCCAAATGTGAGGAGGTGTCAATGTAATTTACCCTTTTTTATTTAGGAAAAGATAAATGAAAAAGGAAAAAAAAAAAAAAAACTTGTACAATATTAAGAAGGATAAAAATAGAAGCTACTTCATATAAAAAATAAAATAAATAAAGTAATGACAAAATTGATAACTATCAAATCATTTCTTTCCACATTTTATCAATTTTTTTTGGAGAGATTAAAAAAAGAATTATTCGGAGCAAAAAAAAATTTCTCCATTCCTTCAATTTAGTAGGAGTGACTACCGTTTCTTTCAATTTATCTCCAAATGCAAACAAAATTTATGTGTGACCTTGCTTTTGGAACAAGCACACTTCTTAATTCAACTTATTTTCAAAGGCTTTGTACCGTACGTGACCATCATAATGAAGCGCAATAGAGAAGGAGAGTGAGAAATGCCTAAAGCTACGGTAAGCCTTCAATACCTTCCTCTGTCTCACCCTCTCTCTCTTTCTCACTCTCTCTTCCCTTAGGTGACCCTTCGTTCACTTTCTACCTCTTTCTCTCATATAGATTTTGTTCATTTTTATTTCAAGGCAACGAAGAGACTGTTGATTTGGAAACTTGATATCAATAATCCAATCATCAGTCTCTTCAAATACTTAAAAAGGTAAGTCATGTTTTATTCTATTTGTTTGGTCTAGAGTTATGGTTCTTTCTCTTTTCTCTTCTTGTTTTCTTGATAAATGTTACATGAAACCATAATGTTTCTTGACGGATGTTATGAAAAACCAAGGTGTTCAATTATTCCCATTGCTTTCATATTTAGATTGTTATTGAGAATGTTGAGTTATGGATGTATTGAAAGCTTGAATATCAAATGTTTGCAAAATTGCAATTGTAGTAAACAGTATTAGCAATATAAATTATACGTATCCCAATGCTCTAGGCTCCCATTTCAACAGGGTCTGCGAATGGTCGGATATGTATAGTCTTACTCTGCATGTAGAAAGACTGCTTTTGTAGTTTAAACTATGGCACTCAAGTCACAATGGAGCGACCTTATTATTGCGTCAAGACCCACCCTTACCCAAAACATTTAAGTGTATGGTGAAAATTAGAAAGCCGATGTGGATATTTCTTATGTCTATGGAGTAATAATTTAACCGTAGCCTCCACCACTTTATTTTCATCTCTTTTGAGATACTTTAAAAAATATATGAAAAAATGCAAGATCTCAACAAAAGCCCAAAATAAGTTTGTAGTATCATTTCATAATTCAATAATAAAGGACAAATAGCTCAAATTTTACATAATAAATTGCATAATAATCTACTAGTTGTGGTGAAACATTGATTTGATTAATTCAAACTTAGGTTGTATTAACATAAATTGTAAAAACAATTAGACCTATAATTTTGCATGAAAGAATACAAATTTCCCTAGAGGATTATGATACAAGAAAAGATTCCCTGCATATGTTTAAAGAAATAAAACAAACTCAAATCGCACACAAGAGAGCACACAAGGTAGTGTAACAAAAGAGCGAGACAACTTGTATTGCTGACGACCCAGTGCCTTAACGTTGGAAGTAGAAATTTTATATTATTGAGAATATAAGATAGCTTTTATCATGGTATTCACATGGAATTAAAGCTCAAAAGGAATATTAGTGGGTGATTTTTTAATTTGTGATGATTTTTGTTGTGCTCTAGCATGTATTCATTTGTACTTGTGACATGTACGACTATTATGTAAGAAGATGCGATCATTATGTATTTAATCCAATACTTATAATAAACAATGCCAGCTAAGAGTAAATCCTCTCCCACCAAAAAAAAGGAAAAGAAGAAGATAATAGTAAGTGTTAAAATATCTAACTCAAAATCAATTGGTAATCAGTGTAGATGGCTCTTAAGTATATTTACCATGTTTAGATAGCTTAGAGAGATGATGTGAGATAAGTCTAACCTGATAGCATGTCACAAGGGGGATCTTAAGTACATTAATCAAGCTTAGGTTGCTTAAAGAGATGACGTGGGACAAATCTAACAATCCCTTGCACATGTAACCTGGATAGCATGTGAAGGTGACAAAGAGATAGGCAAGAGATTAGACTTCAAGCAAATACTTGACTTACTAGAGACTAAATAAGTCTCAACTCGGATACCATATTAAAGCATCCAACTTAAAACTAATTGGCAATGAGTGGAGGGATCTCTTAAATATATTAACCAAGTTTTGATAGTTTAGAGAGACGGTGTAAGGCAAGTTTAACCGTTAAAAAAAAAATAAAGAAAGAAAGTGACTTTTGAGTTGGTAATATAAGAGAGTGATACTTATATGTAGTTATTTAAGTGAAACATATGTGTTTATCTATGTAATTATATGTATTTCTTTCTCTTTTTCTCTTCTTGTTTTCTTGATAAATGTTACATGAAACCATAATGTTTCTTGACGGATGTTATGAAAAATCAAGATGTTCAATAATTCCCATTGCTTTCATATTTAGATTGTTATTGAGAATGTTGAGTTATGGATGTATCAAAAGCTTGAATATCAAAAGTTTGCAAAATTGCAATTGTAGTAAACAGTATTAGCAATATAAATTATACGTATCCCAATGCTCAAGGCTCCCATTTCAACAGGGTCTGCGAATGATCGAATATGTATAGTCTTACTCTACATGTAGAGAGACTGTTTTTATAATTTGAACCATAACACCCAAGCCACAATGGAGCAACCTTACTATTGCGTCATGGCCCACCCTCACCCAAAACGTTTAAGTGCATGGTGAAAATTAGAAAGCCAATGTTGACATTTCTTATGTCTATGGAGTAATAATTTAGCCGTAGCCTCCATCACTTTATTTTCCTCTCTTTTGAGAAACTTTAAAAAATATATGAAAAAATGCAAGATCTGAACAAAAGCCCAAAAGAAGTTTGTAGGATCATTTCATAATTCAATAAAAAAGGACAAATAGCTCAAATTTTACATAATAAATTGCATAATAATCTACTAGTTGTGGTGAAACATTGATTTGATTAATTCAAACTTAGGTTGTATTAACATAAATTTTAAAAACAATTAGACCTATAATTTTGCATCCAAAAATACAAATTTCGCTAGAGGATTATGATACAAGAAAAGATTCCCTACATATGTTAAAAGAATTAAAACAAACTCAAATTGCACACAAGAGAGCACATGGTGTTTGGGAAGTGGGTTTTTATGTAGGTTTTTTTAGTTGTAGGTTTTTATTGGATAAAAAATTTTTGGTGTTTGGGAAGATAATTGGATTTTTATATGGTTGGATGTGATGTTTGTGAGAGAAAAAGTGAAATGGTTATGGGGTTGGATGTGATATTTTGTTTGGATGTGTTTTTTTTGGCTTTGTAAAAAGTTTGTCTTTTAGTGGAAAAAATGAGAAAAAAATTTGGAACCTAGGTTCCCAAACACCTTGTGTAACAAAAGAGACAAGTTGTATTGCTGACGATCCAGTGCCTTCACGTTGGAAGTAGAAATTTTATATTATTGAGAATATAAGATAGCTTTTATCATGGTATTCACATGGAATTAAAGCTCAAAAGGAATATTAGTGGGTGATTTTTTAATTTGTGATGATTTTTGTTGTGCTCTAGCATGTATTCATTTGTACTTGTGACATGTACGACTATTATGTAAGAATATGCGATCATTATGTATTTAATCCAATACTTATAATAAACAATGCCAGTTAAGAGTAAATCCCCCCCCCCCAAAAAAAAAAAAAAAAGACGAAGAAGAAGAAGAAGATGATAGTAAAGTGTTAAGATATCTAACTCAAAATCAATTGCAAATGGCTCTTAAGTATATTTACCAAGTTTAGATAGCTTAGAGAGATGATGTGAGATAAGTCCAACCTATAGTATGTCACAAAGGGGATCTTAAGTATATTAATCAAGCTTAGGTTGCTTAAAGAGATGACGTGGGACAAATCTAACAATCCTGTGCACATGTAACCTAGATCGCATGTGAAGGTGACAAAGAGATAGGCGAGAGATTAGACTTCAAGCAAATACTTGACTTATTAGAGACTAAATAAGACTCAACTCTGATACCATATTAAAGCATCCAACTTAAAACTAATTGGCAATGAGTGGAGGGATCACTTAAATATATTAACCAAGTTTTGGTAGTTTAGAGAGACGTTGTATGACAAGTTTAATTGTTAAAAAAAAATAAAGAAAGAAAGTGACTTTTGCGTTGGTAATATATGAGAGTGATACTTACATGTTTTTTAAAGTGAAACATATGTGTTTATCCATGTAATTATATATATATATATATATATATTTATGTGTATATGTAAATAGATATGTATATATGTACATGAGTTTTTTGTCATGTTAATCCACCTTTGGTTGACTCATCATGATTATTGGCTATTAATTCTTAGTATAATGTTCAAGTTTTCTTTAGCAAAAGAAAAAAAAATAACTTTCTTCCATTATCTTTTTTGAAATTTGTTTAATCTAAACAAAACAAAAACAAAAAAAATGTGAGTGAGAGTGTATGCATGGATTTTCAATTTTGAGGACTTGTTAGTAATATAGGTAACATGAGAACATATTCAAGTTTCTTTCAATTGTACATTCTTTTCTCCTTATATGTCATTCAAATATTCAAATTTGTTTCCATTCCATCCCTCATCAGTTGTCTTGTTGTTCATGGATTTATTTTGTTGAGTCTTTTAAGTGAAACCTTACATACTTTATGTTTAAATCCCAAAAGAAATAATCGGATCATGGATATATTTTCTTTAGTCTTTTAATGGAAACTTATATACTTTATGTTTAATTCCCAGAAGAAATACAAGCAACTTACATGGTATGGATACTTTGAACACTGAATTGAAACAAACATCTTTGGCAACAGAATTCGAGCATGAGAGCACCCCCATTAGTGGTTTGAGGATACATTTTGACTCTGAGGTGAATGGTGTTGATCTTTCCACCTCAGAAAAAAATTTAAGATCCTCATCCTCTAAGTCTTCATCTTCTTCACCGGACTCCCCATTTGATAATCCTTTCAAAGATGATGACCATGAAACCAACAAATACAACACAGATACTATCCCTTCTAAACCTGTTGATGATCCTCATTTGGCTTCTAATTATGGTGAAACAAATGTTTTGGGAAGTTCAATACCCAAAGATGAAAAATGTAATGTTGAATCGCTGATCGCCATATCACCACCAACAGTTGCTAGTGATTCTCATCAGTTAAACTTACATAACACATCAACAACAGAGTCCCCTCCTATCCAGGCAATGGATAGTTCTGGAAACCCAACATGCAGGATTCCTGATCGTGTATTTTCTAGAACCAAGTCTGTAGCCCCAGTGGAATGGAGTGTGGCGTCTAATGAGTCATTGTTCAGCATTCAAATGGGGAACATGAGTTTTAGCAAAGACAATATGTTTTGGCGATCTGAAGAATTTCCTGGAGAACATACCACATCTTCTCAATTTGTCAATTTATCACCAAACCATACCCCAATCAATAAAAGAATTGATTCAAGTAAGTCAAGCAAGAGCAATGTGGCTGAAGCAGTAGTTGAGACTATGAATGAAGTCACAAGGGAAAGTGCAGAAGATAAAATTAATGAGCAATTACCTCTTGCTCCATGCATTTCTAACCGCTCTGATATTAGTGGCACTAGTGTCAAATCCTTTGCATTTCCCATGTAAGTTATGCTAATTCAACTTCAATTAATATGCAACACAAGTATGCAACTCTAGCTTCTTCTTTTTTTTCTTGAATAAATACTCACTCTTATATTTACTTTCATTTTATGTAAACTTATTCCTATAAACATGGACATATGTGTTATGTGTCCTAAGTTTGGCTATCACCTATCATTTTTATGTGCATATAACTTGCATTTGTATATTTATATATTAAAATTATTATGACATCATAGTTCCTGGGTGTGAATATGTACATGTTTATCTTGTTGGGTAAATTACACTTTGTCCCCTTATGTTTGGCTATTTTTTTTTATTTACTTTGGCTCTTAAAGTTTTTTTCTTTTCAAACACAAACAAAAGCTAACTTATATTCAAAATTAGACAGAAAATGATACATTTACAGCCATGTGACAAAAAAATTAGTATATATAACTTGTACCTTTAACACAAATCTAAATTCTAATATAATAATATATTTTTCATATCATGTGGCAACTAACGCGTCATTTTTGTCTAATTTTGAACATAAGTTAACTTTAAGAGTAAATTGGAAAAAAATTGAAACATGAAGGGTTAGTAGGGGAAGAAAAACTTCAAAGATTAAAATGAGAAAATGATCAAATATAAAAAGTGACAAAATATAATTTACCCTTATTTTGTTTGTGTTTGTGTGTGTATGAATAAGAGTGGGTGACTTTCACTGTTTACCAGACAAAAGAAAAAAAGAATAAGAATGGGTGACTGAGTAAGAGAGAGAATGTCATTTCCATCTTGCTGTTTTAAATGTATCGGGGTTAATCATTTCTCATTTTTACATTGTAAAACAGTATTTTAATTAATAGTAGTTGTGTACTACTACAATTGTTGTGCAATACATAAAGCATCTGCAATATAGGCTTTCCATTTTTTGACATTTGGTAAAATGTGTCCGTATTTAACATGCATAAATAGGAATTATACCCATATTTTTCCATGGGTAACTTGAGAAACATGAGTTTATTGATTTGACACACATGTAACATATTTACAAGTTTAAATAAAATAATTTAAAATCTAATAAATTTATGCCTATTATACTGTTTTAGACTTAAAAAATTAGTGTTACATTATATTTTGTTATTATATTTGAATATAATAATTGGTTATCTCTATATGTGACATGCAAAATGTAAAATGCGTCGGGAGAGGGATATTGAGAAAGTAATCTTTGTATTTCAATATATCTGAAACCATATAGAGAATCTCCATTATATAGGAGCTTTTGTGTCACAAAACATAATTATGAAAAGAGACCGAAAGCAGACTAAATCCTATCTTAGTTGTATTCTATATACATTAATATATTATGCATTAGCTATATTGTATTCTATATACATTAATATAACCAATTTATTGGGGAAAAAAAAAAAATCCTTTATGGACATGACGAATGGCTCTTGCATTCCATCAGAAGAAAAAATTTATTGATTGCCTGAACAAAATAGAACATAATATTTGAAGAACTTCTAAAATGGAGGGAAGTGTTGACTACCTAACAAAACCAAAAAGTCAGAGAGGAAAACAAAAGATGCATGGATATGAAATTAATCATTATTATTTCAATATGGTTGTTATTTTGTTAGGAAATTAATTTGATCAATTTCCTTGTATTACCCATTCTTAAAAGTCAACTAAATCGATTGTGAAATTGTAGATTGACAGGAGATGGAAATGGTGATTCAACCAAGATAAGTAGTTCACCGAGGGTAGGCCCAGAGCCTTTACAACAAGAAGTGCAAACACAGACACTACCAGAGCCAAAGTCAGAGTCGCAACCAAAGCCAAAGGATCTTTCTCAACCATCTACCCCTTGGACCAAGTGGCTTTCTTGTTTCACATGTTGCTCATTCTGTTCTTGACATAGTGGCAGACCCAAACCTCCTTACTTTGACAGAAAGATGCTCGTAGGACTTTGACTAATCCATTCTGGTTGATCCATTAAATGGTTAAGAAATTCAAAAAAAAAAAAGGTAAAAATTAAAGGAAGAATTGTTTGAATCTGGCTGTTTTTCTCTAATCAACCAGTTGACATAACATGCTTTCTTCCCACATCTTGGATTCAGGAATATAGTTTTTCTAGCAAGCAAAACAGAAACCGATACAATTTGTCTCATAGAATGCTAGTAGGTAGGACCAGTTTGATTTTGAAATTGAGAGAAGAAACAAGAATATCTAGTGGAAGTAAGGATTCTTTTCCAGATATAGGATCTTTGAGTTTAGTTTTGTTCGATTCTAACACACACGCCCATGTCTAGTTATGGTTGCTGATAATATGGCATTGTTGCCTTGCATTTATTTTACATGGTAGCTTTTGTAAAGATCTTAAGTTGTCATTATCTAGTTTTTTCTCTAATGTATATTGCTTATGTAAAGTATAATAAGTTCAATATAAATCAAGAGTTGTTGAACAATGTGATTTGTTATCAAATGTAACTTGTGCATTACTTGCGGTTTTTGGTACATCGAATGTCGGAACCTAGAAGTGGGAGGAGTTTTGTTAGTGAACCCTTTACTTCCTAGTAAGGTGAAGGCAATATACTAGTCCCAGCTGATTTTGTATTTTTGATTCATAGGGTTCATTGTTTACTTTTACATTTTTTACATAAAAAATTTTTAACTGAAATTTTTTGTTTCAGTAGCATTGTATCGAAAGGAAATGTTAATGTTGTTAAATACCTACTCATATCTACCAAGTAAAACTCAGAAATTTGTCAAGATGATTATTATTATATTGTATAAGACATGAAAGATTGAACATTAAACCAACCTAATGACATCATATTAATGTACACATTGTAGGAACATATATAACTTTTTGTTTTATTGTGAATGTTTTGAACACTATACAGAAAATAACTTGTGTTGATATAAATAAAAAAAAAAGTATATGAATTAAATAAAAACGAAAAACTCGCAAGCTATATGAATGTAGAGAACAAAGATGATTAAGGCTAGTGTTGAACATTAACGTCTTTGAGTCAGATGATAAGATATTGTATTAGAGATGGATAGATCTAAGATCAGGATGACTCGAATTTACACTATATAGTAAGAGGATATGTGTCATTCTAATCCTAGCATGACATCGAGCTTAATCTAGTCATCTCAAGTCTGATCCTAAAAAAAATTTAAATTATAAATTTGCCACTTAACCCAATAAATATGAGTTATTAAATTTTTATTTTTTATTTTTATCTTGAATGAATATTAAAAAAATTAATTTTTTAAATGTATTATTTAAACATTAACAAAATTTAATGGTAAAATAAATATAATTTTTAACAAATGTTTTTAATTAAAAAAATACGTATATACTTTTTTGTCTTTCATATTTTTATACTTTATTTTAAAACTGAAAACTATAAAATTATAATTAATATTTTATAAATAGACAGTTGGAGTGGCCACTCTTTATCCCAAACTTAACCCATTATCTGATAAGGGATAGACTAGCTGCAAGTGGGCTGGCTTTTTTAGATGAGGTTAAAATAGTATAAAAAAATAAAATAAGTTAAATAAATTAATAAAATAAAATATTATATATAAATTATAATTATTTTATTTTTTTTCTCAAAAAAAGCAAAAAGTTAAAAAAAACTCTTTCCTAATGAATCCTAAATTTCAACTAAACCCGACCTTACAAGTAAAATAAAATTTTAAAACCTTAAAAATATCAAGTTGACGGATCAAGCCCGGCCCTGGCCATAGGCCCACAAGGCCATGGCTTAGGGCCCCTTAAAATAGGCCAAAAATAGGGGCCCCTCCTATTATAAATTCGTATAATATATTAGGTATGTTTTAAGTCCAAAAAAAATTTAAAAAATGCCCAAACTAAATTAATTTTTTTGACCCATTAAAAGGCTAACAGTTAAGGCCCAGCCCAACCATTTGAAAGGCCCATTTTTTTTTTTTCTAATTCCTAACCCTATCTTCTATTAATCCAACCTTCCGTGCATTTGTTTGATATAGCACACACCAACAACATAGAGATGGAGCAGCAGCAAACAGGTAAATTTTTTTTTTCTATTCAATTAATTAAATATTTATCTTGTCTTTTGCACAATTAATTGCTATTATAATATTGGTATTTACATCATTAAGAAGAATTTATTTAAGTTTAATAGTTCGCATCACATAATTTAAAAGTTTTGTATTTTGTTAAGTGGTGGTGCTCTTGTTTTGAATTTTGATCTAAAAAAATATTTTGATCTCAGCACAGCAAGCACACGTAATTTTTTTTTTTTCTATTCAATTAATTAAATATTTGTCTTGTCTTTTGCACAATTGATTGCTATAATAATATTGGTATTTACATCATCAAGAAGAATTTGTTTAAGTTAAATAGTTCACATCACATAATTTAAGATTTTTATGTTTTATTAAGTGATGGTGCTCTTGTTTTGAATTTTGATCTAAAAAAATATTTTGATCTCAGCTCATCATGACTCTTAAAAGAAATTATCCTTTACCTTAATTTTTTTTTTCATTCAATAAAAAAAAATGTGAAGAGCCCCAAAATTTAGTAGTTGATTATCGACTTTGGGCCCAAAAAATCTCAGGACTGGGCCTGTGACGGATTATCAGACCAATAACCACTCTATATTGGAGTGTTTTGATAAGTTAGTACAAAGTTGACTTTTGATTTTTTTAGTCTATTTTATCTTTTTGTAAACAAAAAAATATAAGAGATAATGTGACTCAAAATGAGTAAAAACTAAAAATTGGGTAAAAAATTACTTCTCAAAAGTCCCCATTGTATATGTGGGACAAAAAGAGTGAGAAAAAAATAAAAATAAATAATACTAATCAATGGGTAATTATATTCACCATTGCAAATCTGGTGGCGCCAATGTATATTTTAACCTTCTTTTTTAAAAAACCTCGCAATACTGTGAATAGTTCAAAAAAATTGCCGCGAAAGAAATTTTCATATAGACTATTGCTATTACCAGAAAAGTTGTGAATTTTGCCAATGCAGGGTACAAGCTTTTTGATGCACACCGTAGCTGTGTGTGCTCTGGTAAAAGAAACATTTTATCTGGCAATAGAAACAACCCATATATTTAAAAATAAAATGAAAAAAACTCGCGGCGATGAAAAAGTTTTTAAAAACGACTTCGCGCCAAAAAAAAGGCGTACAAAACAGCCCTCTCTTCTGAAGTCCATTTCTCTCTACATTCATACAATTCGATTCTAGAGAGAGAGAGAGAGAGAGAGAGAGAGAGGAATGGCGAATAGGGTAACCCAAGATGCGATTTCGACTCTACTGGCAAACCCATCTCCGGATTCTTTATCGGAACCCCAGGAAATCGTGGTCCAAGTCCTCGATCTGAAGCCTACCGGAAGTAAATACATGTGAGTTCTCTCTCTCTCTCTCTCTCTCTCTCTCTCTGAATGTTTGCTTTTTTCTCTTGGATTTGTTGGGAAAATGTGTTATAGTTGCTTGATGAGAAAGGGGTTTTGGTTTGATTGACAAGTTTTGATTAATTTTTTGGGTTTCATTTGCTTGGTTGCCGAGAAAAATGAAAAAAAAATGAGTTTTTTTAATTTTTTTTTTTTAAAGTCTGTTTATGTTGTTTTTGGCTTCCAAAACTAAGAAACTCAATCTGACCGATATTTTAGCATTCATAGTAATCTGGATTGATATTTTCCTGTATTTTCTCGGAAACCAAACATAGCATTCCTTTAACTTGTGGTGGAATAGGAATTTGGGTTATGTTATCAAAATACAGAGACATACATGATCTGGTTGCTTTAATTTTTGATTCACCTGCTGAATTCTCTTCTAATCTCTCTAATGTTTTGGGATCTGTTTGTTTGATTGCCAACAGATTTGTAAAAATCTATCTTCATATTATCACATATTTGGGTATTTTATGTTGTGTTTGGATCTTAAATTTGTGATGGTATTTGTGGATGGAAAATAAAAGGAAAGTCATTTGTGAAACAAATTTAGCTTATGTGTCAGTAATTTTTCTCTCTGCAAATCCGTTCCCAAACATAAGATCCGAATACAACCTTAAAGTCCAAATCTTGAATGGAAACTGAGCAGTTGCCTATTTCATCATGTTTGGTTGCAGGTTTACGGCTAGTGATGGAAAAATGAAGCTAAAATCACTTTTACAATCTAGTTTGTCGTCCGAAGTCATGTCCGGAAATATTCAGAACTTGGGTCTCATTTCCATTCTTGATTATGCAGTCAATGACATTCCAACAAAGAATGAGAAGTGAGAATTTCAGCAAAAATGTCATACTTTTAACTCTTACTAATTTGTGGGTCTTGAAGTTTATTCAAAGTGTATTTCAACTTATTGTAGGTTTTTAATTGTCATAAAATGCGAGGCGGTATCTCCTGCTCTTGAATCAGAGATCAAGATTGAGCAGAAAAGTGTAGAATCTAACATTATTCTGAAACCAAAACAAGAAATTGGTATCAAGAGTGAGCCAAAAAGTGCAGGTACTGGCATAATTTTGAAGCCAAAGCATGAAATGGTTGCTAAATCAGCAGCTCAGATAGTACATGAACAGAATGGGAAGTAAGTAATAAGTACCCATTTCAAGTACACATATCTAAAATGGTCATGAGAGCTATTGGGTTTTGAGGACTAATGCTGTATCATTTTGAAATTTCAGTATGGCACCTTCTGCGCGAATGGCAATGACAAGAAGAGTTCATCCACTTGTTTCTTTAAACCCATACCAAGGAAATTGGACCATAAAAGTCCGGGTTACAGGCAAAGGAAATATGAGGACTTACAAAAATGCCAGAGGAGAAGGCTGTGTTTTCAATGTAGAGTTAACCGATGAAGATGTAAGTAAACATTTGCTATTTGTGAAGTGTTCATGTAGAAACCTCTGTTGATGACGAACTAAGTTGATTGTTTTGGTGCAGGGTACACAAATACAAGCAACAATGTTTAATGAAGCTGCAAAGAAGTTCTTTGACAAGTTTCAGTTGGGGAAGGTTTATTACATTTCAAAGGGAACACTAAAAGTTGCTAATAAGCAGTTCAAGACAGTCCAGAATGACTATGAAATGACTTTAAATGAAAATTCTGAGGTGGAGGAAGCAAGTAATGAAGCAGCTTTTATTCCTGAAACAAAATTCAATTTTGTCCCCATTGATGAATTGGGTCCATATGTAAATTCAAACGAGCTTGTAGGTAGGAAACTCCTCCCTTAGTTTCTTTGGTTTTATTTATGTCTCTTTCTTATATGATTCATTCATTGTTATGAATTGCAGATGTTATTGGTGTGGTTCAAAATGTGTCTCCAACATTGAGTATTAGAAGAAAAATTAACAACGAGACTATTCCAAAACGTGACATAACTATTGCAGATGAGACGTAAGCTTATGCATAAATTACAATTTTTTTTTTTTGATTTTATTGAATGTTATATTTAAACTTTGAATTATTGTGTTTTAGGAAGAAAACAGTTGTGGTGTCTCTATGGAATGATCTCGCTACTAACATTGGACAAGAACTGCTGGATATGTCTGATAAGTCTCCTGTAGTTGCAATTAAATCCCTGAAAGTTGGAGACTTTCAAGGTACTGTAGATTACCTTCTGCCTCTGTGCTTATCTAGTTAGTACCAAATTCGGAAGTATATAACTAGCTTAATAATATTTGATTTGATTTGTTTTGTTGTTTCAGGTGTATCTTTGTCAGCCTTGAGCAAGAGCATTGTAGTGGTAAATCCAGACACACCTGAATCGAAAAAGTTGAGATCTTGGTAAGTGATAGTCCCTTTAGTTTAGTAACTTGGTTGTTTTTTCTTTCAAAAGTTGTGGCAAGTCATAATGTTATTTTGTATACAGGTATGATTCTGAAGGTAAAGAGGTTTCAATGGCTTCTATTGGATCTGGAATGAGCTCCACAACCAATACTGGAGCAAGATCTATGTACATTGATCGTGTCACTCTTTCTTACATAACCCAAAACCAATCCTTGGGTGAGGACAAGGTAATCATATCATCAGTTCTTCATGGTTGTTTTTAACTCTTTGAATTATTTATTTAGAGTTGTGTATCATAACTTGAGTTGAATTTGGAGTTCTGAGTTCTGACACTGGACTTTATTATGTTGGACAGCCGGTATTTTTCAGCATGAGAGCATACATTAGTTTCATCAAGCCAGATCAAACTATGTGGTATCGTGCTTGTAAGACATGCAACAAGAAAGTTACTGAAGCTATTGGATCTGGGTATTGGTGTGAAGGATGTCAGAAGAATGATGAAGAGTGCAGTTTAAGGTATGTTTGTTAGAAAAAGTAGAGACTTAAGAATTTCACAACAGCATTACATATAGTATGCTGTTCTACAAATGTTTTAACCCATTCCTATTTCTTTGTCTTAACTTTCAGATATATAATGGTAGTGAAAGTCTCTGATGCAAGTGGTGAAGCTTGGCTCTCTGTGTTCAATGAACAAGCAGAGAAAATTATTGGGTGCTCTGCTGATGAACTTGATAAACTCAAATCCCAGGTAAACCATTCATACATACCAAATCAATTCCAAATTTGATGCTTCCAGGAAAGCAATTCTGAGCTAATTTTGTTAATGTTTTCCTTTCCAGGAGGGAGAAGGAAATCCTTTCCAACTGAAACTGAAATCAGCTACATGGGTACCTCATCTTTTCCGAGTCAGTGTTACACCACATGAGTACATGAATGAGAAAAGGCAAAGGATAACAGCCAGAGCAGTTGCGCCAGTTGATTTTGCAGCTGAATCCAGGTTTTTGCTAGAGGAGATATCAAAGATGAAAGTGTCTCAATAGTGTTTTGTCTTTTGGTTTTGTTGAAACATGATGCTTTTTTGCACCATGACTTCGTATTATTGTTATGTTTGAACATGAAGTCTAATCTTGGTTAGGAAGTGACTATTGTAATATATATCACTGTTTTGGTTTTAATTTTTTGAATTCAATTTTTTATAAATTGAGTTTTTATTTTTTTGTTTTTAATGAATATTTTAAAATTTTAAGTAATTTTTAAATTTTTTTTTAGATGTATGTATTTAAAAAGTAAAATATTTATAAAAATATATTTTAAAAAATTGATAAATATATAAGAATACAAAATATTTATAAATAACCCAAATCCTTTGGTTTTGGGTTATGGTCTCTTTTTTTGCAGTGGGTTAGGTGATTATTTATTATTCTTGGTATCAAAATATTAGTTATTTTTCAAAATTCATGAGTTTTTTTATTGTCATTTTTTTAAAATTCATTACTAATACAAAAAGTATAATTATAACAATTGATATTTATAAAAGAAATACTATCAAAGGATAATTTTGAAAAATTAATTTTTTTAAAGTATAATATATTATCAGAGGATAACTTTGAAAATTTAATTTTTTAATGTATAATAATTATATTATCAAAAAAAGTTAAATTTTTTAAAAAGAATTATTATTTTGGAATGAAGAGAGTAATAAATATGAGGAGAATTATATATATTCTTTCCGTTTCAAAATAATAACATTTTTGGAGAATTTAATTTTTTTTGATAGTATAATTATTATATTTGAAAAATATCAATTTTCCAAATTTTTTTTTAATAGTATATTTTTTTGGAAATATTAATTGTTATAATTGTATTTTTTGTGTTATTAATGAATTTAAAAGAAAGATAAAATAGTAAAATCACATTAAATAGAAAATTCAATATAACAAAGAAATAATGAATTTATGTCTTCAATAAAAATCTTTGGGTAAATTACAAATATATTTTTTGAGATTTGTTTAAAATACGAATTATTTTTTTAGTTTGATAAATTATAAATACTTTTCTATCAATTTTTTTTATTTAACAGAATTAATTGAAAAAATAAAATTTCTAATTTTTCATCTATATAATAATAAAATTATTTAAATTATTAATTGAAATAAAATTTTAATATTATTAAAAATTGTTAATTAATTTGATTTATTAATAAAAGAACTTATTTGTTATAAAATTAGAAACTTTAAGGGATGTAATGTAATTTTTAAAATTATAAAGAATAATTTGTAATTTAAATAAACCTCATAGGTGTTTATAATTTACCAAATTTTTTATTAGTGAGGAATGTACATTAGAGCAACTTCACCAAGTTTTTGCTTCACCCAAAACTTCAACTGGTGATGTGGTTTTGGATTTTTTAAATTTTATTTTAAACAATGAAGTGCAATGGTAAAATGCATTATTAATGGAAAAAAAAATAGAATAATAAATTTGGTATATAAGGTGAAGAGTTTTCTTGTAAGAAATGTTAAATTAACATATGTTAATTTGTCATTCAAACTTTCAAAAAAAATTGACATAGCAAATTTTGAAAGTTTGGATATAAATGCGTAGTGATCAATTGAACAAATAAGAAGTGTTGAATTCTTAGGTTGTGTTTAGTTCATAGATTTAAGTAGAGATTTAAAAAGAAAAGAAAAGAAGTGAATAAAATGTAAATGAAATTTAATTACATTTATACATATTTCTTTTTTCCTTTCTAAATTACTATTTAAATTCATAATTCAAACTCTGCCTTAATCTTTTAGATCATCGTTGTTCAATTGATTTTATATTTGTCAAGTTTTTATTGGTCAATGGTAACAATTAAATCCTTAATCCCATCTGCCTAATGATTCAATCATTCACATATTCATGAATCTAAAAAAATCATTCACATATTCATAGGAGGGAGACGAGAATCTAGTTTGCTTTTTAACTAGGTACTATGATTTTATCTTTGTTTTAGTTTTTTTTTATTGGTCAATGGTGTAACAATTAAATCCTTTTAACGGTGTATCAATTTTTTCATTAAATTTAAGTAAAAATTTCATTTGATATCAAGTGTTTCAACGGAAGATTTTGGAGCTTTATCAAAATACCGATCGACCGGGTTGATGTCTGACTTGTCAACCGGTCAGTGTAATTTTTTTCACAATATTTTGCGTTGAAGTGGTCATCCAATAGGGCATCCGGTGGTGAAAATCAAACGATTATGAACAGTGATTTGATGAAAGGCACATTTGTCCTCAGTTTGATGAAAGAAAAACGAAATCCTAAATTTAATACTATTTGATGAAACCGTTAGAATAAAAAAAAAAGAAATTTTTTTGCCAAATTCAAAATTAATAACAAAAATGTAAATAACCATTGGAGATGGTCTTACTCCCATCTCCCTTTTTCAAGTGACTTACTTGCACTACTATGTTCAATGGATTCAATGATCACATATTCAATGGGGTGGGGGGGGTTAAACAGAATCTTAATTTGCTTTTTAACTAGGCTCCATAGTGAAACATGTTTTTAAGATGCAGTATTAATAGTGTATTTGGATTATAAATTTAAATAACGATTAAAAAAAATAAAATAAAATGATTCCTAGATAACGAGCCTTAAAGGTTTTTAGCATGTAAGGTCAATGAATTTCCAGGATGAGATTGTTGTTGGTTGGTCTCAAGAGACTCATTTTGTTGATTCAAATTATTCACTTATCCAGCTCCTAGAGAGATTGAAATTTTTTGATTAATCAATAATCGTATCCACGTGATCAAATCATATTTGTACTCAAAATCATATTTGATGTCCAATTTTAAATAGAGTAAATTACATTGATCCCTTAAGATTTGAAAAAAAATACAATAAGCCTACAAATTTGACAAAATTTCATTGACTTCCTTAAAGTTTTAATATAACATTTGACTTAATTTTTATCAAAAATTGTTAGATGTATGGAAGAAAAAAAATGATATTATTGTCTTTTTTACATTGAAATGTATATTTTATTTTATTTTTTGTGTGTAAAATTAATGTAATTATGCCAAAATCGTAAAAGAAGTCTGTGTAATTTACCCTTTTAAATAATAAAAGTGATATGATCAATGGTTGTAGCTATCCAATCAATTTGATTTTTTAAATGAATAATTTATTTAAAAAATCCTACAACATAAATAGATCGTCAAAATAAGTACCGTGGTGAGCCACCGAAGCCAAAAAGTACAGTCAGGTGGCAAATCCCATTTCATTCAATAACACCACCTACACTACAAGTTGCTAAAGGCAGCTTCTTTCTGTTTTTCTGGGTAAATTAAGTAGGCATGTCAAACACATAATATTCAATCATAATTTTCTTTTTTATATTCATAATTTTGCAAGAATGAATATATAACGACCGGTTGTTTTTTCCTAATTTACTGTCCCTTTTTTCCCTATATAATGTCAAAAATTGAAACAACTCGGCGTCATCTTTGAACGAGAAATCTTTGGCAAAAAGACTCAGAATCATATGGAAAAAATTAAACTTCCTATGGGCTCCAAAAAATTTGTTTCAGAAAAATCTTTTTCTATTAAAGAAGTAACAAAAAATTATTAACACTAATCTACGTGGAAGAAACATCTGAAAACTAATGTCTAAAAAATGACAAAAACAAAATCAACTATCTCAATTCTTTTGATACTTTGAGATCAACGATGCAATCTTATGCAACAGTGTGGACGACTTATCTTCATGATTGACAGAGAGAGGGGTGTTCCATTCCTGATACTCGTGGAGGCTGCCTGTGAAGTCTGTGAAGAGTCCGTCCACGCCTATCTTGTTTATCCAGTAATCGTATTCAACAAAGGGGTCTTGCTTGAAGTTTAAGTGTAGGAACATGTTCTCACTGCGGAAAGTGTATGGGTGAACCTGGAATGAAATCACAGAACCAAGTAAAGTTTTGAATTACATAAATTGGAAATTAAATGATAAATGAAAATCTCAGCTATAATGTAGTCAAGCAAACAAAAAAGAACAAAAAAAAAGAAAATAGGACAATTTTAGCATACACTTTGAACAAGATTTATTACCTTCTTGAGTTGATATGAACACTCAATGTGAGTAGTAAATCAGGTATAATTTCTTAGAGAAGTTCAAAAAGACACAATGCTCAGTTTGTTTCAACGGAAAACATTTTCTGAGAAAATGAAAATGCTTTCCTTATATTTGGTTGCAGCATTGAAACTAATGTACTAGTACTCGTAGTATTGGTGGTGTAGTTGCATTAAACGTTTTCCACCTTTTAGAAGTGAAAAGCATTTTCAGCCCAACTAATCTTTTTTTCATTGACAACACTATCTTTTTCTGTAGTACCAAACACTAAAAAATGCAGAAAACATTTTTCATTGAAACAAACGGAGCACAATATTGTGTCAAATTTGTTTTGAAGAGTTACAAAAATCACTTTAACATATGTTTTACATAATCGTATGAAATCAATAATCCTGTCAAGATAAATTTGGTAACCATAAACTTGGCTTCTTTCGACACATGAGATTGGTAAAATACAAACCAAAGAGAAACAATTTGTGAGATTTTTTTGACATTATAAGCTTGATATAATTGTCCTACCGGCAAATTTCAAAGAACGCATACGCACCTGTAAGTTGCAGGCATGCGCTTTGGCGACAATATCAGTAGGTTTTTGCAAATAATTATTCACCACAGGTACCAAATTATCCTTCCAGGGTCCAATTCCCACTACGTAATCTTTAATGAAGTTGAAGTAAGCATCTGAAGTGATTTCCGAAAATGACTGCATTTAAAGAATAGCAAATTACTTTCATATCATTATTAACACAGTTCACAATTTCAAAATGAACAATTCTCATATAAAACAAATATCTGAGGGTTAAGAGAAAAATCATTAGAAGAGCTCAAAGTTGTGTAATTATGGGCCTAGGGTAGTAAAATGAACCAAGTTAGTTGAGCTCACCTTACTGTTCGATCCTTAAAAGACAAACGAACAAAGGTTGAATACATTTTTAAAACTAGTTAAGTGTTCAAACCAAGCTTGAACGACTTACTATTTGACTCGACTTGGTTTGTCTATAGCCAACCCTATACAGGCCACAGTGCATGCCAATTAAATGGGACCAGTTGGGTGAATCTTAATTGTGTAAAGTTGGCACACCAGATGACAAAATTTGTCCATAGACTCCTTGTAAAAGATTTAAATTTAGATAAGGAAATCTTCAAGTCAAACCGTGATCTGATAAAGAAAATAAAACTAACTACAAAAATTACAGAGTTCATATACTCCAAGTTCCATAAAACATGGATATTATGTCTCACATTGCATAATTTTTCAACTCTTATGTATAAATTGATGTGGGAAGGTTCAAGTCACAGTGTGTTTGTTGGTTTAGGCCAAGCAAATTATTTATCAAAAAAATAAAATATAAAAGGGAGGCTAAGAAAATAATTTAGTTAAGAAGAACCTGATTTGTGTCCTGAGTTGGTATTGTCACGTCATCAATTAAAAAGAGTTTGGGCAAGTCTGTCTGGTTTGAGATGTAAATAAGCGACGTTGGAGCAAATGACTGGACAAATGCAGGTTGTCTCAACCAATCTTTCGACATATATGAACCTTTGTATCCATACTTCTGAAGTGTCTCCACGAATATGTCCTCGTATCTCTTACCACCTGGCCATTTCACCTGTTGCAAAGCAGTAGTTTGAAAATAGGAAATGTGAAAAGTAGTCACTCTATTTGGTTTCGTTTCCAAAATCTGTTTTCTGAAAAAATTTCAAAAAAAAATTCACAAAAAAGACTAAAAACTACGAACTAGCTAAGTGAGTGTTTTTGGCAGATAATAATAATCTGATTCAATCCTGTCAATATCATACTAAAACAGAATTTTATTTTTTCATAAAATCATTTGGCAGCAGCATACCAGACGAAGGTTTACTCACATGCTGGTTCATTAATACTGGATTTTTAATCTCGGGATAAATTCCAACAACTCTTGGTGCATCCAAAGCAATTGAAATGTACTCCTCAAATGTGATGATCTGAAATTTTCCTGCATTGTACATCAAAAAAGAGATCTTAGGAGACTATTGCCTCACTTTTGCGAACAGTTTCCTTTTACAATCACTTACAGAGAACCTATGTCTGATGGTACAAATGTGTGTGTATCTATTGTTAATTTGATATAAGATAATATAATTACTTTATTGATTGGAAAATAAAATGTGCTCACTTAATATAAGCAATAGTCATGACGTCATATAAGAGAACAGTTTTGATCTTGCTAGAAGAGACCGACTCATCCAACTTTGGTCACGTTAAATTTCGTCAATATAGCATATTTAATTTGTTGTACAATGAATATTAGTAAAAGAGAATTGATTCGGACTTTAGATGGTGTAAGAATTAGCTATCATAGATTTTTCCGTATTTAAATTTCCCTTGTAATCTCATTAGATATAATTTTTACAAGTTGAATAGAAGAAATAAGTGGGAAGACTGTTGGGATCTGGGATCCCGCCCAAGACCTTATAGAAATCATTGCAAGCAGAAAAACACACCCACACATAAGGAGACACAATATTTTACGTGGTTCGGCCCAATGCCTACGTCCACGGGAGAGTAACCGGTTATCACTATACCAATGAGGAGATTACAGAAAGATTACAATAGAGGAGGAGCTCACACTCTCCTCACTCAGCCACTCACCCGTCTCCCTCGCTCACACCGAGGGAGACGGTCTCTCCGCCTCACATCTCTCGCACTCTTTGGTTCACGGTTTTCTTCCTCACTTACTCCACATTTTGCTCTCTCCTCTCAACCTCCATTTATAGGTGAGGGAGTAGGTGGGAGAGCCTTTGGGCAGCCTCCATGCTTGACTTCGGCAGCCTCCTTCTTTGACATGGTTGGTAGTCTCCTTCCTTGACCTTTGTGTGTGTTCCCATGGAAGAGAGTCACCTCCTTTACATGGGGTGAATTCAACAAAGACTTGGGCTCATCATAAATCTCAAAAGGGAACTTACCATTATATTGCTGATCCCGGAAAGGGAACCTCTGCTTCAACCTCAACGACTTTAGTTCTTTTAGTGTAAAATCAACTGCATAGGATTATTAAAAAGAAAAGTTCACCCGCAATGACTTTAGTTCAACAAATGAATATTATTATTACATTACAAGCATGAGGTAAACGAAATTACCAGTGAAAAAACCAGTTGTGTTGACCCCTTGGACGTTGTAGGTCCTCTTCCAAACTCCTTGTGTTCTGCTATATCAGTAGTAGCATCAAGCGTTACATCATGCATGCATATAAGAAAGCCATCTTTGGAGGCTAGGATATCTGATTCTATGAAGTCCGCGCCCTCTTCAATAGCTTTCTGCAAGAAAGTCATTTTTCAAGAATAAAAGTGATGCAGAGCATGTGATAAAGAGGGGCAAATTTGAAATTTAACATGGAACCCACTTCAAATGTTCTATATTAACTTGCCTATGGTCAATTTGAGTCCTATTATTATTCTTGGGTAATGTTTACATCCTTAGAAAAGTCACTTTTTCTGCCCAAAACCCTATTAATTGCACCAAATCAATCCTGACCCTCTTTCCCCTATTTATTGGCCTTCAATCAAACCGTTAAAACCACAAAATGGTTGCAGTCAAATCCATAGAATCAAGGCATTGACATTTTTTTTTACCACACAGTAGATGTTAGTAAAGTCAGATTACTGCAACAAGTTGATGTCACCCCATTGGATTGAACCTGAGGCCTTACCTCACTGGCACCTAAGGGTCCCTCAAGACCATTTGGGGTACAGCCCAGGTCTAAGGCATATCCATTTACAGAGAGTAATTTTTTACCGAGTCAACCATGAAGTAGACATTTTTTCCAAATTCATTACATGATCAGGACATGAAAATATTTTTTCAGATAAGCAAAATGTTATCCGGCAAGCTTACCATGTATGCAGGAGCAGATTCTTCAGGAAGCTCTCCATTTGAACCTCGATGTGCAAGGTTATATGGGCGAGAAGTCTGCAGAGGCTGTTTGTTTTTATTTTCAATTTTGCTAGGGAGTGAATAGAAAGGCCTTGCGGAACAACACTCAACAAGGAGTAGCAGGAAAATAAAAGGGACAACACCTGTTTGAGTGAATTACTGGAAGAATGAATCAACAATTACATTTGAACATAGTAAATTTTGATGAATGAATTCATGGATTTAAATGAGAGCCGCCACATATGTATAAGAAGCACATTTTCACATATGGCTAATGGAAAGCTTGATTACTTACAATTCTCCTTATAAAAATGAAGTACACCACTAAATTCAGCTTTGAAATTTAACAAACTGACCAGTAGTAGCTCTATAGTAATTGACATAAAAATTATTACATCTCTGACCCATAGGTGATTAAAATTAAACTCAACTCTAAACTTAAGTTTTGAAGAAAATTCTGACAATTGTCTCTGCATAATGTTTTTAAGCATTGTTTAAAAAGAAAGGAATCGGATGTAATCTTAACTTGGAGAGACTTGTTTCCGTGTTTCAAGATGCTTAGGTCATAATAGAGCAACTTTACTGCTGCACCAAGGCCTGCCATTTCCAATAACATATATATATATATGTGCAAAATAATTCTTACATATAATACATTCTTAATCTAGAAAACCTTGACCTCATCTAATTAACAATTCCCAGTTAATGCATTCACATAAAGTTGCAATTGCTAAAACACACAAAATTAAGCTATGATTTGCTAAAACAAACAGTCCATACTATATCTCATAACAACTTAAAAATCACTTTGCACACCACCATTTTTCTCAATTCGTACCATTCTTTTTCCAAATAAAATTAATTACCTAACAAAAACTAAATTGTTTGTTCAGTACCAAGTACCCAAGTGAATTTTCAAATATGCAATTACATAGAAAATGTTAGCATTCAAAATCAAACCCTGGTTTCAACTTTCACTCAAAATCAAAACCCAGAAAATAAAAAAGAAAAAAAAGAAAACCCAAAAGATTGGTTTCAAAGAGAAACAAGTATACAATCATTTTGGAGTGAGTTAGAGTTAGATGAATACCGATTGAAGCCATGGTGAATGTAGAGTAGCGTATGGATTTACAGCATTTCAGTGTGAACTGGAAAGCTATATATAATGGGGAATTGGTGGGTAGGTGGCAGAAATTGCCGTGGATTTACTAACAGTTCTACGAATATTCGTTTGAAAAATGTAGACTATGGATTTTGATGAAGAAGAAGATTTACTACTGATTTGAAAATCCATCCTACTAGGAATTCTAACTGAATCAGGATTCTAGTGGGTTGTTTTGAAACTTCTATTTTCCTATCTCAATGAAGAGAAACACAAATACAATATGTTCTCATGAATTATTCTAGTTAATCACTCATAACATTTTCATACTACTTTTTTTCTTTATTGTAAGGTGTATACAATATGGTACATGCCCAAAGTTTATTTAAAATATGGATTGTTTTTAAAAATTACAAATATTTCTTTGTAAGATTTTTTTATTTAACAAAATTAATTGAAAAAATAAAATTCTTAATTATTCTCTTATATAATAATAAAATTAATATCATTAAAAATTGTTAGTTGACTTGATAATTTATTAATAAAATAGATCATTTGTTATGCCATTAGAAATTTCAAGGGATGCGATGTAATTTTTAGAATCGCAAGAGAAAATTTGTATTTTAAACAAATCTTAGAACGTGTATTTATATTTTACTCAAATAATAATAATAATAAATTACATTCACTTTCTGTTGAAATTTTTTAAGAATATCATAAGTCTTATAAGTTTGATATAATTATATTAAATTTCTCTAAAGTTTTAATTTACATAATATTTAGTATTTTTATTAATAATTTGTCAGTTATTTATCATATATTTTATATTAAAATATATACTTTATGATGTTTGTTTTTGTATCTTTACACTATTTACATTAGTTTCGGTTGTTTTATAGTTACCAAAAAATATGTCAATGTAATTATGTCAAAACTATAAAACTTGTTTTATTTTCACCCAATGTAATTTATCCAAATAATAATAATAATAAATTCTGGAAGTATTTATAAATGAGTTAATTGCATTTTTTGTCCCCAAATACGAGTTTTATGTTATTTTGATCTCCAATATTTAAATTGTATCAATCTAGTACCTAATGTATAAAAAGTGTTTTAATTATTTATTAGAGATAATATTGAAGACCAAATTAAAACCCCATTTATACATTTGTGACTAAATTGACACAAATTAAACAATAATCACCAAATTGAAACTCTTTTTATATATTGAGAATTAGATTGACACAATTTAAATATTAGAGACCAAATTGAAATACTTTCATATATTGAGAATAAAATTGATAGATCTTGATGAGAGAATTCTAAATATACTAATTTTATTAAAAATCAACATCTACATCAAAAGTTATATTATTTTAAAATTTAATATTTTGGTAATAATAGTGTGTGTTGGATTTTTCAAGGAAAACTTTTTGTGTTTGTCCTTAATGAATTAAAATTTTATTATGAGGAAACTTTGACCAAATCTCTCTTAATAAAACTTGATAAAACTAAGCTTAACCAAAAGCAAAAGCTTAGGCCTCAACACAGAGACTCATCTTCGGGTGACTTGGCAAAACGGTTGATTCCAAGACAAACTCTAATGCTAAACTTCCTAATGCTCACTTGCATATATAGGGGAACGGGGGTGAGGTAGAAGCCCAATAAGTAACATTAATGTAAAGGGTTAATGAATGAATTCTAGATTTATAAAAAAACTCTTATCATGATCAAAACTGTAAGATAAATTGATAGAAGGAGAATAAATTGTATGTATTATGATTGATGTTAAGTGTGTCATTATAATGTGAAGATGACTCTCCTTTTATAGAGGGGAGAGTGTACAAAGAGGCAAAGAGAGCCGAAAGAAGAAAGCAGAAAGTGTACACTAAGAAAGCACTAAGAAAACAACATGATTAAAGCTTGATAATTCACAGCTAACATACTATGCACTATAATACATATAATATACTAACAGCCCCCCTCAAACTCAAGGAGGATAGGTGTCACACCCCAAATCCGGGCATTATATATATAAAACATAGAGTTCTTCAAACCTTTCAAAGCTAAACATAACATTATTCAAAGGCATATTGTTCAGAAATTTATCAGAGCTTTCAGAGAGTGTTAGATGATGGGATACTTCGCAATAGCATTTAACAGAGCAGACAACACATAATAGATAGAGCAAAACAGACAGAACATAACAGAGCTTGACAAAATGACCTCTAGTCCAATATATGACAGAACAACCTCTGGTCCAATACAAATAGATAATAGATGTATCAAAACAATGAGTTGACCTTTGGCCCAACATATAACAGATATTGCATATATAATGGATAACAGATGTAGCAGACATACACAGTAGATATAACAGATAACAGATATGGCAGAACGACCTATGGTCCAACTTATGTATCATCATGAAGAATTCGTTAGTGGTTATTGCAACAATTAGGGAATGTATACATAACAGAGGTTTCTGAAAACCAAAGCGTATTTTGTAGATGTTACATTAGTTGATCAAAAAGAAATCTCGTTCATTCTTAGCAAAACATCATTTTCAGAAAATTTGTCATATCATAACAGTTCGAAAGTTCTTAGCATATCTTAGCATTTCAAAAGTACTTATGCAGAAAACTCATCATATTGAAACATTTCGTAAAGAAAATGTAGATTTCATTAAACATCATATAACAGCCATTTCAAAATCATTTATACAAAAATATCTTTACAAGACGTTACTACAATGACTTGGTCGAATGCTATCCTTGGCGGATCAACCTACACATTGCACACCAATATACACATAGAAACATAACATTATTTACTTGATTGAATTTTTTTTCCTTTTTTTTCAAATAAATCGAATTCTTACTTTGTTTCTTTAACCAATTAACTTATGTTGGTTCTTAACTTATTATTTCTTCATAAAGTTTAAATCATGTCTAGGAATGCTCATAAAAATAAGGGAATGTGTCACGACCCAAACCCGGTACCGGAGGTTCGGCATTGCGACAAGATAATAACTGAAGTCATAACAAATTAATAGTGTAGCGGCGTAAAATAAAGGGGTATCCAAATTTTCATTTAAGTATAACAAAAATGTGTACATTGAAGCTTCTATTCGATTGCAATACCAGAGCTGTACTATGACTACAAAGTGCCTTGTGCCGACCCCATGCACTGGTTTTGACACGTCACCTAAAAGTGGTTAACAACTATAAGCACATAACAGAGTGAGAAACATTATACCATGAGCATGAGGGTACAAAAATCACTATGGATAATTATTTGGCTAAACAAAGATTAGTTTGGCAACTGAAATATATAACTAATTTTAAATAACAGAAGCAGAATGCGGAAATCATATAAGCAAATAATCATAATCATGGTACAGAACAGAACAAAATAGAACAGAGGTCACTGGAGTGACAATCAGAATAGAGGTCAACGGATCCATGACAAACAGAGGGTCACAAAATGACCAAACAGAGACCAATGGTTATTTAAGTCCCCCAAGGCATGGGGCTCTCGTGGTGGTACTTACAAAACATAATTGTTTATAAAATCATTGTCAAATAATGTCTAAAATTTAAACAAACATATCTGTGGGTTTCATTTTAAGCAAATAGAGTTCAGAAAATAATATAATTTATAAAATTCGAGTTGCGTAAAATAAATTATGGTAACTCAAAACATACGTAAAATATACTATGGTGACTCAAGATATAATATAACTCACCTTAATGTTAATTTCAACTTTTTACTTTTTGTTTACTGCTACCCATTAAATACTCCAAAGTAAACTCAAAGTTTTATATATATAAAAAACAAAACTAGAGACCAGAGAGAGTGAGAGTTAGAGAGTTTGGCGAAATTGTGAGGATCGTTAGATGATTGCATCTATATAAATAGGCGAGAAGGCATGCGGGGCAAGACGCGTGGGCAACAAGCAAGACAATTTGGGGGGCACGCATCCTTATCGTACAGAAAATATTATGTTTCAGTGTATTTTGGTTTAGAAAAAAAATATAGAGAAAGATATAATAAAAATACCATAATACTCATAAAATAATATCAAATAATAATATAAACTTAAAATTATTTTTTGAAATATTTTTACTATAAAAATATACAGACTATTAACTTTCTAGAACAATTCAGAAAATATTCTATTTATTTATTTTGTTTTCTTTTTATAACTTAATCAACTCCAATTCAGACCCAATTAATAAAATTTCAAATTTACTAAACTAAATTGGATATTTAATTAAACTCTCACATGGTTCGATACTCAAAATTAAAATAATTCAATTCATCAATTTCACCTTATTGAGAATTCCACAATTAAATTAGAATAAGAATTAATTAAATGTGAAATATTATACGTGATGGGGTTGTCACAGAACGAAAATATGAATAAGATGTAATTTTCCACAATATGTTGAAAAGAGCTATCCACTCAAGCACACCAATTTTCCACAATATGCTAAAAAGAGTTGTTCGCTCGAGCGCACCTTTGGTCGCTCGAGCGGTCTGTAAAAATACTAGATGCACGCGATGTACATTCGAGTGATAACTATATCGTTTGAGCGGTCTGTTATTTTTCAGAATTTCGAATTTCATAAAAATGGCTTCCAAACACATTTTCAAAACCTAGGGTCATGCATGGCTTGCTTAAAAACATATAAATACTTTAGAAAACACTATTGCATGACCATTTATAAACCATTTGCTCAAACCTCATCAATTAAAAAGATTGAACCCAAAACTTCCATGCATCAACACTTTAAAATCCAAACCCATAATCATGAAATATTACATAATTTTTCTTAATCTATTATTCTAGCTCAAATTCTTCATAATCATGAAATAAGCAAATAATCATAACTATGATACAGAACAGAACAAAATAGAACAGAGGTCACTGGAGTGACAATCAGAACAGAGGTCAATGGATCCATGACAAACAGAGGGTCACAAAGTGACCAAACAGAGACCAATGGTTATTTAACTCCCCCAAGGCATGGGACTCCCGTGGTGGTACTTACAAGACATAATTGTTTATAAAATCATTGTCAAATAATGTCTAAAATTTAAACAAACATATCTATGGGTTTCATTTTAAGCAAATAGAGTTCAGAAAATAATCAACGTAATTGAAATATCAATATAATTTATAAAATTCGAGTTGCGTAAAATAAATTATGGTAACTCAAAACATACGTAAAATATATTATGGTGACTCAA